GGAGGACCTTTGCTGCGATTTTGGAGGTCACCCGACAATCAACGGTGAGCAATCTGACTTCTGTTTGATCAGACTATTGCGCATTCTGGCTACCTATTGTGGGACCCTTAGCCCCATGAAGATTACAAAGCTTTCTCCTGGGAGTTCAATTGTCCCTCTCTTGTATCTCGAGGGTCTGAAACCCCTCCTTCCGCCCTTCTCACTCTAAGTCTAATCTTGGTTACGAGAGGAAGGCGACAAGCGGGATTGCAACCCGTAGTACTGCATCAAAACTCTGTTGGGAGTCTGCCCACCGACTGCAGAAGCTCTGTCGAAACTCGGACCCGCTCTGTCGGAACTCAGGAGGAGTTCTGAAGGTACGGAACTGAGAGGTAAATCTCCGTCTCCCTCTATTAACCCAATCAAAACCCCTATCTGTATTTCTTGCTACAGTTTCACTAAGTATGATGTGTATATCCCATATTGACTTTGGGTTTGACCTTCAGAACACAAATCAGACGTAAATAAAGGAATGTTTGTGCCAGTTTCAGTTTTGTTGTTTGTCTGAAAGCAGATTGTAAAAAGAGTTTGCATCCAGGGGAAAGGTGAGAGGAAGATGGTTTTCCTTGTGTTTGACTGGGTCAACCAAAGGCTGGGCAAGTCTCCATAACTTTGGATGGTCCAACGCTATGTTCATTTTGATTGTCTGGAAAATCAGACAGGTTTCCATAAGTTTGGATGATTTGGTTGCTTTGACTTGCGATGACTATTTGTGATTGTTTTTTCAGGGACCAAGCAAGCTTCCATATGTTTGGATGGCTTGATTGTCTTACTTCATTTGGGATTTCTCATGTTTATTAGTTTTTGGGAAGAGTTGAGCAAGTTTTACAAGTTTGAATGACTCTAATTCTGCTTATTTGTTCTGAGCTAAGATCAAGCGAAGAACTGGACAGGCTTCCATAAGTTTGGATGGTCTGGAGCCACGCACTGCTGAAACCAAAAAGGGTAAATTTGTCGATATCTTTATAGTATTTTACTTATGAACAGGCTAGTCAGACATGTTTCCATAAGTTTTGATGGTCTGACAATAGTTTATCACAAACTGAGAAGAGTAGCAATTATGAGTAAACTTGTGGTAAGAAGGGGATGGCTGAACCTTGTTTCTAAGTTGAACAGTTCAGTCATATGCTGTCTCAAAAGACTAAGTGCATAAAGGTAAAAGGTATATATTATTTGGATATTTTAAACAGTTCTGGGCGACTAGGTTGGACGGCTTAGTCATAAGCCTAAGGAAGAGAAAAATTGTGGAGCCCTATATTTATGTACATCCAATGATCGAGCTAGATAGTTTTCCATAAGTTTGGATGGTCTAGCTTTATGCCTTATATAAGCTAGGTATAAGGGAAAAATCATTGAAAAGCTATAAACTATTGTTTGATAAGGTTTAACCTTGGTGTCGATGAGAGTACTTACCATTGTGGCTTGGCCTTGTATCACTCGAGGTTAAAAGTCCCGAAAATCTTCGGGGAATCGTCCAGTGAAGCTTGCAACAAATTTTTAATGAATTTGCTAAGGAGTTGTAATGTTCGGCGAAGCCTTGGGGGGGGTTGTTGGGTGGGCGACCCCTAAGAACAACCAAGTTCCCAAAGAAGAAAAAGAAGAAAAAAAAGTATAATCTTAAGCGAAGTCTTGGGGAGGATTAGCAGGTGGAAGACCCTTAAAAAAGGCTAAGTTTCCGAAGAAAAAAAAAAAAACGAAAAAAAAGTGTAATCTTCAGCGAAGCCTTCAGCAGGACTGGTGGGTGGTTGACCTCTAAAAACGACTAAGTTTCCAAGGAAGAAAACGAAGAAAAAAAAGTGTAATCATCGACGAACCCTTGGGGAGGGTTGGTGGGTGCGAGACCCCTAAAAAAAGTCTAACTTCCCGAAGAAGAAAAAAAAATAAAAAAAGTGCAATCTTCGACGGAGACTTGGGGAGGGTTAGAAGGTGGGAGACACCTAAAAAAATAGTTAAGTTCCCGAAGAAGAAAAAAAAAAAAAAAAAGTGTAATCTTCGACGAAGTTTTGGGGAGGGTTGGTGGGTGAGAGACCCCCTAAAAACGGCTAAGTTCGCATAGAAGAAAACGAAGACAAAGAAGTGCAATCTTTGGTAAAGCCTTGGGGAGGCTTCGTGGGTGGGAGACCCTGTAAAACGGCTAAGTTTTTGAAGATGAAAAAAAAAAAAAAAAAATGTAATCTTTGGCGACGCCTGTGGGAGGGTTAGTAGGAAGGACCACTAAAAAACGACTAGGATTGGTGGGTTGGGACCTCCTAAAAACGGTGAAGTTCCTAAAGAAGAAAAAAACAAAATAAAATGTATAATCTTCGACGAAGCCTTGCGGACGGTTAATGGGGTGTAACAAAAAAAGTGTAATCATTAGTGAAACCTTGAGGAGGGTTGTTATGTGACACGCTTTTAAAGACGACTACGTTTCTAAAGAAAAAAAAAAGAATAAGAAGTGTTATCTTCGATCAACCCCTTGGGAGAGTTGGTGGGTGAGACGCTTCGTAAAAACAGCTAAGTTTTTAGAGAAAAAAAATTAGAAAAAAATGTTGAATCTTTGGCGAAGCCTTGGAGAGAGCGACTACGTGGGAGGTCCCTAAAAACAACTAATTTCCCGAAGAAGAAAAAAAAGAAAAACAAGTGTAATCTTCGGCGCAGCCTTGAGGAGGGTTAGTGGGTAGCAGACCTCTACAGACAACTATATTCCCGAAGAAAAAAAAAAAAATAGTGTAAATTTCGGCAAAGACGTGAGGAGGTTTGGTGAGCAACAGACCTCTAAAAACAACTAACTTTTTGAAAGAAAAAGGCATAGTCAAAATAAATTAGGAAAAAATAGTAACTCGTAATAATCTCAGAAAGTACAGATGAATAGACATGACCAACACTCATCAAGAATCCTCACTCATCCCTTTAAGGTCTCTTCCTCAATCTCTCACTTGGTTGTGTGTCTCGTGTGCCTTGAGCTACGTCTATGTACCTCCTGAGATTGTGACTTTCAGATATAGAGTTACCTAAAGCCCACAAGTTCCGAACACTTTCAGCGAAGACCAGAGATGAAGAAGTCAACCATGACACAAAACTCCTCTCATAGACTAAAAAGATATGATTTAGAAAAGATCCCCTGTCTATGATGTTGGAACTCTGAGGGTTCGGTCATCGCCTCGTCGTCAATTTTAACAGGGAAGATATACCTCTTGGTAAGGTCCACCAGGTTTCCCCTGTTTGTGCCATATGTAATGAACTGGAAGCCTCTTGGAACTTGAATTACGGATCAACTTTTTGCCGCTCTCATCAAACTCTCGCTTTCTCTCCTCAACATATTTGGCACCTCAGATCCAGACTGAGTCGGAGTGCTTATGGGTTTCCTTTCCCTCTTTTAGAAAGAGCCTCAAGTCTTAGATAACACCTTATAAAAACTCAGTGAGAATGACAAAGATTAACATATTTTATTGTTTGAAAGCAGCTGCACTGACATATCGATACTGAAAAGCATCCTTGAGGACAATTTGATTGAGACTGGTCAAGATTGACTCACCGACTGGAAATGATTGAATGATACTCATGTGCAGAGGCTAAAACTGGATCCAATATCAATGTCTTTTGATAGTTCTATCCGATTGATGTTGATCTCCAAAATGACTATAAATGACTTAATAACGATTGACATTGACCAAAGATTACTCACACTCCTCGGATGGTTAAACTGCTAAATTAAAAAGTCACCAAATGTTGATCACTTGATAGCAGGGCACTGGGAAATGATGCGGATTAATGAATAACATTTGACAATGAGTGCATCGGCAAGGTCTTGGCATAAAAAACCTAAACACTTTCACATTCTCTCGAACTTCACCCTGACCTGCTTGGTTGTCTCTAGAGATGAGTGGACACTGTGCAGTCTTTCATCTAACCCATGAAAGCAAATCACATACTCGATGAATTTTTGGTCTTTCACTACTCCGGGTGTCCTTCCCCTTATCATTTTTAAATAAAATGAAACGTAAGCAACTGCTTGGCCATCCCACTCTTGCGCTTTATTCCATTAAAGAGTGAGAGGCATAACAAGGATATACTTGTTATACATGACTCTCCCTCATACCCGAAAGGAGTGACACTGCTCACAAATGGTAGTCTTCTCCCGAGAACCTATGAATCCCCCTTGGAGGTGGCCACGCGCAGCCTAGGCCTTGACCCCACGACCATGAGAAAAAAAAATAAAAATAAAAATCCTACATTACCCGACCGAACATCCAGACAACCAATCGTTCGTCCGCCCGGGGCCCTACGTCTGATCGGTGGGGAAATTGGGGGGGGCGCTTCCATGGGGAATCGGACGCTGTGAGGGTGAGAAGTGGGCAGGGGCGAAGCGGGGGAGCCGAAGAGGCCGGTAGGGCCTTTAAAATAAAAAACAAAAATGACCCGATCTTGACCATTAGATCTTTGAGATTGACGACCCAGATCAGGTCGATTTCAAATTCGAATTCCGAGGCGCTGCAACTCTCTCTCGGGCGCGACTTTGACCAGCCCTGTCGGTGGAGTTCGGCGTTGCAGTTGCCGAACTCCGACGACCGCAACCCACTTGCCATCGCCCGCCCGTGCCAGGTGAGTTTGCTTCCCTTCGTCCTCCACCTCCTCTTCCTCTTCCTCTTCCGCCTTCTGATTCTCATGTCCTCCTCCAGATCCTCCTTTCGTTATCCTCTTTCGTTACTCCCCCTCGTCCTTATTGTCGTTCTTCTCCTCTTGGTCTTCCACTTAGTCCTCCATGGGATCCTCCCCCTCCTCGTAATCCTCATAATCCTCGTACATTCTCTCCTCCCCGTCCTTCCCTTATTCTTCCTCGACCTTCTCTTCTTCCTCCTCCTCCTCCTCCTCCTCCTCCTCCTCGTCCTACATTTCCTCCGCTTCCACCTCCTCCTTTTCTTCCTCCTCCTTCTCCTCCTCTTCCTCTTCTTCCTCTTCCCCATCCTCCTCCTCGTCTTCTTCCTTTGCATCGTCCTAGTCCTCGTTGTCGTTATCCTCCTCATTGTCCTCCTCCTCCTCCCCTTCTTCTTTTACCTCGATGTCCTCCTAGTCCACGTCGACCTCCTCCACCTCGTCCTCGTCGTCCTCCTCCTCCTCCTCCTCCTTCTCTTCTTCTTCTTCCTCTTCCCCATCCTCCTTCTCCTCCTCCTCCTCGTCGTCATCCTCCTCGTTGTCCTCCTCCTCCTCCTCCCCCCTTCCCCCCCCCCTTCTTCTTCTTCTACCTCGATGTCCTCCTCCTAGTCCTCATTGACCTCCACCTCGTCCTCGTCGTCCTCCGCCTTCTCCTCCTCGTCCTCGTCCTTGTCCTCGTCGTTCTCCCTGTCCTCCTCCTCCTCCTCCTCCTCAAACTCCGCCTGCTCCCCCCC